TGGCTGTTGGACAGGAAATGAAGTAAAATCTCCCCAAAGTTCACAGATGGCAAAAAAGCTGACATTGGTTATGACCTCCCTTACTCCATCCAAAACAAAAAAATGCTAAAGTGGTCCCAATCAATATTACTGTATGTCATTGTAGCGTGTATACAGTCAAGTGTATGTGGAACGTTGTGTCAATAAATCTATTATTTTATAATGTAACATCACACTCCTCAGATACAAAACTTAACACATTGTCTGCTGTGTAATTCTAAATGAGGATTCACCCGATGGACCTTTTATTTCACTTTCACCCAGACCAATGACAGCTTTTACACAATATTTGAATGTGATTGAGGAAGCCGTCTGTGTTTACTTATTACAGCCAAGCTGCGCTGTCTTCAGGTCATCGCATTTGGGTTCTTGCCAAAACCGTTTAAAAATTCAAAGCTGGCTCAGACGTCAGCCTGAAGAGAACCTGTCCCTGAGAAGATGCCTACAAATTGTGGGGGGAGGTGAGAGTTGGGGGAGGGGTATAAAGGCACGTGTTTGTGATTTACGTTATCATGTGGTTATCTCTTTTTAACCAAGCCAAAGATATATACGGGGAGCTTTTTATAGTTGCATTTGTATTTGTATTTATTTATTGGATTTTGTATTTGGGTTTTTATTTTTTTCATTGGGTTTTGTATTTAATGTATTTAAATATTTATTGGGTCTTGTTTTGGGGGTTTTAGTTATTGAGTTTGATATTTATGTGTTGTTATTTTTTTAATTGGGTTTTTACTTTTATTTATTAGATTTTGTATTTGGGTTTTAACTTTTATTTATTGGGTTTAATATTTGTTTTTTTTTATTGTTTTTTACTGGGATTTGTATTTTGGGTTTTTACTTTCATTTATTCAGTTTTACATTTGGGTTTTTATTTGGTTTTATATTTGTGTTTTTTATTGGGCTTTGTATTTGGGTTTTTATTTCTTGGGTTTTGTTTTTGTATTTTTTATTGGATTGTGTATGTGGGTTTTTATTTCTTGGGTTTTGAATTTTGTGTTTTTTTTAATTTAGGGTTTATATTTGTCTTTTTTCAAATTCTTTTTATAGTTTGTTTTTATTTTTTTATTGGATTTTGTGAATGGGTTTTTTTATTAGGTTTTGTATTTGTTTTTTGTTTTTATAGTTTTTTTGTTTTACTGGTTTTGTATTTGTGTTTTTATTAGGTTTTATATTTGGCTTTTTATGGGTGCCCCAGCTCCCTCTCACAATCTAGAAATATGCAGGGATTGGTTTCTTGCATAACGAAATATTAGTCACCCTGCACAAGGAGAGACAGCAGCAGTGAGCGGTCTTTATTACAGGAGGGGGCGGAGACAAGACCAGTCACCCTGCACAAGCAGAGAGAGCAGCAGTGACCGGTCTCTATTACTCTTTATGTTTCACACGGGATGACTGCACAGATCTGGAAGGAATACACAAAGCTCACCGAGATTCCAGGTAGAATACACATGACTCTTGTACGAGGACATTATTTGCTTATCCTGGAGCTCAGCTTTAAGTTCTGATTCATCGAGCTGCAATGGCACTTAAGGTGTGCTGAATAGCCCTAAGGCATGTTAAATTGACATATGATAATACTGACTTAGTTGCCACATGGGCATGCCTAAATACCTAGATAGAGAATGGAATGTTACATCCTCCCAGTCACTTTCTCTGTCGGGAAGATTTCTGTCCTGGTGGTCATTGTCACTGGGATGGTAAAGGAGGGAGAAATCGAACATTTTGAGGTGTCACCACAACAGCAATTGAGGTGCAATCTTCCAATGTGAACATTTGCTTCTGTGACAACTAAAAAGAGGATTTCCCTCACTTTGCAGACTTTCTCTCACTTTCTGTTGTGTGTTCAGGACAGGAAGTTGAGATGTTCTTCAAGTTGCCTTACATGCTGCCTAAAGGTGGTGAGGAATGATGTCCTAGTGTGTGCACATAGGCCTGTATGATAGCCCAAGGGTCGTTGGAGTGGCGGTGGAAGGGTCGTTGGCGTGACGGTGGAAGGGTCGTTGGCGTGACGGTGGAAGGGTCGTTGGCGTGACGGTGGAAGGGTAGTTGGTCTGTATGCTCCTTCTGGGGCACTTATCTGAAGTTTCATCGTTAGGCACGGTTCGGCAAGGCACAGTGTTAGCTCTCTGCCCCACGTACGTGAATAAAATGCATAATTAAAGTTTCGTCTACATACTCTGAGCTGGCATTTTGTTCGGTGCACCGTGCAGGAGCTCTGCCCAGGTGTCTACATGGTCCTCCCTTCCAGGCGTAGAGATAAAAGGTTCCGTTTCAGAACAATCTCCACAGTCTGATTGTTGCACCTCCTGGTCTTCCAGTTAATTAGCACCTTCATGCCAGCAGTCCTGACAGTTGTGTTCCATCAATATAACAGCTAATGAAACCAGTGCCTAAGGGCAAAGCTACCCGGGGATTCCAGAAGAAAAAATACCGGCGGCAGATTGCTAAATGTGAAACAATTGAACCTTGTAGGCTAAGATGCGAGGCAGGCTGGAGTAATATACACATCAGACGTGTGCACCGCCGCAGTGACTGTCTAGTCTGCATTTGGTTATTGATAACAGGCTGTGAGGATCATAATTAGCTGTATCACTATATACATTGAGCTGTACAAACCACATGAGAATTTTAAAGGGCCAGTCTACTCAAAAAAATTATATTTCAGTTTTTGGTAAATACCAGAAAGTTAGACATTGGACAATTTCTCAGATCTTTTGGAGGAGACCCTATAAATAAGATATCTACGCTTGCGTTCCCCATTCTCCAAACCTGCTGTGCATATTATAAGGAGCCTCTACACGCCCTAGTGGATTTTATATGTATATTATATTACAGAGATTGTAACAGGAGATCCTGTAACATACAAAGGTGGACGGGAAATCCCCCATGTGGAGGAACAGAGTCTAGATTTATGGCAGGTAGGTCTTCCAGTTGGGGTTCCCATGACCTATAGTCAAAATGTCACTTTTGGATGGACTGACCCATATGGCACTCATGGACAAATGTTAAACCCATTTAAGATGGTATGGGTGGGGGGGGATGCGTTCCAACAGCTGCCTCTGGCCATTAACCTATAAAATACATGCAGCTGTCACTGTGGCTCTTCCTTTTGCCAACAGGCTGCACAGCTTAGATAAATGTCAGCCATCTCAATGTACGATGTAGGGGGGTTAGTCCTTTGTGTCCTAGTTCATTCCAGACTGTGGAGGGCTCTTAATGCATTTTTTGGGGGGCTCCGGGATAGCAGACTTTTAAGTTGGACGCTCCCCCTCACAACAGAGCCAAGCACATTACAGAATGACTTACACAGCACATATACGTAAAAATTAAGTCAAGGCAACTGGACTGGCTGTATTTTCACTGGTCATCCAACAAGCTTTATCAATTCAGAATGACTTGTACACGCATTCTCCGGGAATACAAGTCATTCTGAATTGAGAAAGCTGGTTGGATGAACAGTTAAACGTCTTCATGAAAAATACAGCCAGTCCAGTTACCTTGAGTTAATTTTACAGATACACCATGACCTGGACGAATGAGAACCTTCACAGACACTTAACAGCACATAGGAGTTGCGGCAGACAAGGTGCAATGTGTTATTACTCAGCCCAGTGGCGTAACAACCGGGGGGGGGGCGCTGGCCGCCGGGCTGTGACTGTAAGAAACTTACCTGGCCGTATCCTCAGAGCGGCGTTCGGCTCAGGGGGGGGGGCAAAATTTTGTTCTGCCCCGGGCGCCTGTTACTCTGGTTACGCCACAGACTCAGCCCCATAACCAGGTCTCTGGAGGAGGAAACTTAATTTACATGACAAGCTTCAAGTGTGAGTCAAAAACTTTGACATGGGTCCTAGCCTTCCATTACTAAAGATTGTCCAACTATTGGAGTGTTTCCCTCGCTTCCCCTCTGGTAAAAGGACGAGCAATAAAAGTTTGTACCCCTTTCACACACCGGAGAAAAAAAAAGGTGTTGACTGGCCATATATCTGTCTAGAGGTCAACGTAGGGATACAGCCCTGACACCTAGGGACGAAGCTGAAACATTTTCTATGTCCTCCCCACAAGTCGTACTGTCCTTTTTAGATGTGTGGAAGGATACAGAACTGGTATGAAGGGGAGCTTGGAAGGAGGGCTTACATCACATCCTAAGGGAATCTGGTCCAAATCGCACCTCAGAAGGCCGAATGGAGCAGATGTTGCAAACTGCTTCCAGGACAGTAAAACTGAACCTATTCAATTTCACTGCCTTGAGGTAGTATGCAGTCCATGAGCAGCAGAGATTGGTTGCTTAGATCAAAGCCGTCTCCATGGTGGTTTTGCTTTACGACTTGTTCCTTTAACACTGGACTGAAGAAACAGGAGTGTAATGTTACCTTCGATGCCTCCAGCCCCGACTACTACAGATGTCCATTTACCCAAGTCATCTTTATGGAAGCCACATGAACTTCAGATCAGCATCTGAACACGTTGGGTCATTTGGGGAAAGGCATATACCATAATCATTTGCTGCAAAAGGAAACTTGTACTGAGAAATATATACTACTTCCATGACTGATCTACACATTACAAGCATGCAGACAAAAGGCTCCTGACCTGTGTATTTGTCCCACAGGAATGCAATGGATCAACTAGAATTTTTGGAGTTCACTGCAGGCCATATCTCAAAAGGTTTCCTTTTTAAAAGGATATCAAACTTCATGGAATACTTGTCCTTTAACACAAACCTGTACTTTGCCCTCACTAGTCAATGTTCAGTATAGCCTTGTACATATGGGTTGCAGTGTGAACCCAATGAGGAGGATTTATCAAAACTGGTGCAGACAAGAGCTGGAGCAGCTTCTCTCTCATTTTCAATCCTTAACTGGAGAGAGAAGCGGATTGGTTGCCATGCACAACTGCTCCAGATTTGATACATCTCCCTCACTGTGTACAGCAAGCATTCACAACGCACCTTTTAGCTCCAGTTTGGAGAAGTTAAACCGTTCTTCATGGTAGTGGATGACCCACCTTAAAAACAAGCTGCTGGCAGACTTCGTACTACTGCAAGGTTGTTGACAGCCTGCTAGCAGCTTCTTTAAAGCGTCATTCAGCGATTCCGATATTGGGTTTAATTGGGCCAAAGGGTGCTTTAAAATGCACTTCATAGGTGTACCCATAGGTCTGACGCCTTAGAGAGGCAGCATGTACGGTCTGTACCCCTACTACAAGGTGTAGATGAACTGTGTACAGTACCTACAATGGAACTCCGTGCTTGAGCAGCCACTTTCGGTGGGGTCCCATTAAGTGGGGACCGCCTGCATAAGTTTTGGCATCTTTATGCCACTTTACATTCTTCCTGCAATGTAAACCAGGTTACGTTCCCAGTATGAGCAAAGTACAAGTCCACTTCAGGCCATGACAACAGATAGTCAAGTACATTGTTACAAGTCACACATTGAAGAACACAAGTTTTTTTTTTTTTTTTTACTGATTTTATTTTCTGAAGCTTCTTCCAAACAAGCTTGCCACATTAAAGGGTCACTATACCAGTCTGCGCTCAGCCCAATATAGTTTAAATTTAACCAAACAAGCTTTTCTTTTTATTTCTTTTTTAGGAACATTGATGAATTGTCAAACTGCCAGCATGTTATAATATCATTAAGAGAATCATTATAGAACAAACCCAAATTTTTCTTTTTAGCTTCCCCCTTCACCCGCTAAAGAACACCCAGCCTTGCCAGGCTCTTTAACAGGAAGGGAAGTTGGCTTTTTTTTCCTCCCCCCCCCCCCCTCAAGTAACCCAAATTCAAGCATTCTAATTACATGTTGGACAGCACGCCTTTCATCAGCTCTTCAGAATTAATTTTTTTATAATACCAAATCAAATAGTAGAATTATTATTATTAACCAATGACAACTTCCGTAATATAATATTTAAATATTATAACAAAACCAAAAAAAGAAAACATTTACCTAAAAGGCAGTATTGGCAGCAACAAGCAGAGGTGTTAAACTTTGCTCTCATTTTTTTTTGCCAGTTGTTAGAAGTGTACATTATAACAAAAAGTTATTTCTATAAAGATTTTGTTAAGATACCATAAAAAAACGACAGCATGTATATATTGGTTTTTCTTAAGCTATTCAGAACCAAACTTCAGGAAATCTCTTTATAAGAAAAATAAAGGTTTTAAATACAAAGATATGTAAAAACAAACAAATATTTGCGCCCCCCCTCAAGCAAATAAACAAACAAAGTTCAAATATCCCGTATACCCATTTGAATATTGAGGCAGTATTTAAGGTGCTGGCAAAAATCGAAAGACCATGCCAAGGTTGTGTAGGTTTAGCCAATCCTTTACATGCACTTGTCCAAAAAGTCTACAAGTCCTTTTTATTTGTAGGATTCAAGAAGACAACCTTGAAATAGGACTGTCACAGTTCGGTTGAAGAAGTCTTTTTTTTTTTTGAAAAGTTGCTATAGAACTTAAACAAAAAAAACCAAAAATAATAAAAAAACAAGAACAAATGAAATCACAAGCTCTTGAGCTGTTTGAGTTTCTGTTTTAATTGTTCTCTTTTGAGTTTTAACTGTTCTGTTTCCCGGACGAGCCTTCGCTCCTCTTCTTGCATGGAAATGACATATTCTGTGGCCTTTTTAAGGATAACTACTTTGGGTGCCTTTTCGTTATTGGCTACCTCGGGGATCTGGTCTCTGAGAGCGAAAAAGCTCAACTTGAGTTCGTTGCGCCTCTGGCGCTCTAGTACGTTATGTGTCCGCCTTTTGTCGTTCTCCTCGTTGTCGGACGACCGGGGGCTCGAACACTTGCGGTTGTTGCTGATCTGTTTGAGGACCCTGGTGTTGCTTTCGAGCTTGGCCCTCTTTGAGGAAGGGTAGTCCATTTTGGTGGAAGGTGGGGCGGCGTAGTTGTGTTGGTGGATGGGCACGTGACACCTCTTTAAAACCAGCGGACTGTGGTGGGGTCTGGAAGAGGATTCGGTCTTCTTCGATGCGGAGTAGCGCTTCTCTACCGTGACCACGTCGATCTCTTCTTCCTCCTCCTCATCATCATCATCGTCGTCATCATCTTGTTCCCCTTCTGTTGAAATAAGACAGTCGGGTTAGTATAACTGCACAACTAGATTACACAAAAAAAGAGCTTCAGCACCTCAACTTCAGATAACAAGGAGAACCCAAGATCCGAGACGGCACAGCATTCTTAGAAAGCAAACCTCTCTATGTAAGCTTACTCTTACTCCCAGCCCAAACCACTTTCACTGCTCGCCCCACCCACTACTGCAGTGCTGCAGAATCTACAGATAAGGACAACTTGTAGCAGCTGTGACAGATCGTTCAGTGAACGGTCTGATGAGTCTAGCCACATGCACAAGAGAAGACCACTCCCTTCATTTAGCCGGCACATGATAGAGAACCATATGGCCAAGTAGATCATGGACATAGAAAAAGTCAAAGACCATTTAAAGCCTTCTACAGTCATGAAAAGTAAACCCCTTCAATAAAAGCTTCGTAGATCGGTACTTACCGGACTCAGAACTGCTGCTGTTACTGCTAATTGGTGGAGTATCCAAAGATAGGTCTTGCTCCAAGCACTGAGAACTGCTCCTAGGAATGCTGTCATTCACAGGATACGGGAACACCACCGACGGGTCTATGCAATCGGAGCTGGGGTCGTGAAGATATTCACTGCTGGTCCTGTTGGACCCAATGGGACTGAGGTCGACCTGGCAGGAGTCGAGCTTCTGCGGGCTCTGCTGCTGCTGTTGGCTTTGGGGCTGGGAAGCAGAGTTCTCCTTCCTAGAAGCTTGGTAGGACGCCAGCTTTTCCGACACCACTTTCTCCAGCTTGGCAGCAGCAGAGAAGCCGCTCCACATACAGTCCTGGATGATGATGGACTTGACGAAAGTCTCGTCGTCCGGGTCGCAGATGAAGCTCTGGTTCACCATGTCCCCCCCCAGGAACTCCGTGACCAGCTCCAGCTGGTCGGTGGAAGGAAAGAGGTTGGAAATGCTAGATCTACGGCTGGGGGAACGCGGCGGGGTAGGCAGGAGCTCAAACTTCTTCCAGATGTCCTCGCTGGGTGCCGGAGGCTGCAGCCGGTTGTACTGCTGCTGCTGGTAGAAGTTCTCATCTTCGTCGAAGTAGAAGAACGGCTGTATGGAGTCGTAATCTAAGTCGTAGTTCCTGCTCTGGAAGTTGGCGTTGAGAGGCATGGTGCTGGCTTTACTCGGGGACCTATAAAAAGAACAGGCGGTTTAGAGAACACGTCTCTTTCCCAAGTGGAACTCTTACAATAAAAAAAAAACAAAACTCAAAATGACCCTCAGAAGTATTCAGGTGGAAAGCTAGCAGAGCAGGAAGACATTGCAGGGGGAAACTTGGAGGAACAAAGAGGCGAGTGTCAAACATAAAGCTTCAGAAAAAAGCCGGCTGAGTGAGGGGAGGAGGCATGATCACATGTAGCCCCGCAATACTACACCGGCTCCGAAGAGCCACATCCACACTAGGTAAGGCTGTATGACAGCCCACTACAGTCTACTGGGCTGACAGAGAGCCCTTATTCAGGCATTTAAATGGTAGCGTAGACAACCCAAGACAGAAGCCTCCAGTGACAGCTGTAGGTACATACCTAGACTACTACTCCCACCACCTCCTACTCTATGACAATTGCCCTCAGATCACTACACAGAACCTATAGAATGTCCAGTAGGGCGGAGATGGACGCTGATCATTGCCTAGTGCCAGAACCACCCACATCAGACCAAGACCCCCCCTCTCCTAGTGATCCAGCTACTGCTGCACAGTCCCCCTTTACTCTAACAGCTGTATTTAAATGAGGACAGAATAATGGAAACACCCCAAATACTAGCACAGCAGCTAACAGACCACCAGCATGACACTCCATCAGAACAGCACTACTACTAGTCTTCAACCTCCCTACACTGACAGCTACACCACACACAGAACAGACCACAGATTCTAACAAGAAGCCCAACAGGATCACAGATCAGTATACAAATCCACATGATCGATCCCCAACCACAATCAATAGCATACAATTCACATGATGGATCTCCAGGCATAAGCAATGCCCCAAAAAAGTACGAATTCAGAGGAGTTACCCCGCCAGCTGCAGGACTTAAAGGGGCTAGCCACTCTTCAATAGACACAGCCGTCCACCTAAGCAGCCTTAGGAGGACATCAAGGATCCAGGGGGCTCCTCCAGCCCCCCCAAAGGCATTGCCATCTTCCAGAACCAGGTCCAAACTGATCAGCAGATGACAACAGCTCAGTGACAGTATAATCCTCCCAGCGATGAAGAAGAAGAAAGCAAAAAAAGGAGGGGAGGACGCCTTACCCGGCCAATCAAGTCTCACACAATCCGCTGGATGCCTTGTAAATCCAAAAAGGAAAACCCCACTCCGCCCTCCCCAGATCCCGAGCACACACACACCGCTCTGCTGCTTTCTCCTAGCACCAAGTCCAGGCGCTGTGCTCAGAGCCGCCTTATATAGCGTCCGCTGGCAGTTCGCGCCAAATCGCGAGGTAGGGCGGGGCTTGCGTGGGCGGAGCAGGGAGAGCAGTAGTAGTGCCGGCTTAACTCATTCATGGCAGGTTGTAAACAGTGGCGAGCGCTGCCGGCTCCACTCTACTACGAGGAGCCATTCATAGTAGAAGGTCGCGTGACAGGCGGCGGATACAATGTAACAAGCGGACGGTTCTCCCCCG